GGAAAGAGACCTGTTTATTGTACCCTTTTTCAAACTTAAAAACTGAAATTCAGGTTTGCTTTTAACGTTTCTGAACTAGGAAAGGGTGCTCCTTGTGCACTGTCGAGCTCCAGTGCACCAAACAATGTCAATGGAAAGAAAATGTTATGTACACATTTTCTGTGGCAAATATTTTTAAATCTCTCTAATATTTTTTTCTAATAGAATGAAAGCAAATATCACGCACAGAAATTTTATGCCAGATTTCAGTCTGCATCTGACTTCTAGAGCATCATCACTGCTTGTTGCCATCCTTGGGAGTGCCTACATGAAACAGGCCGCAGCTGTTATCACTTGTAGAGATATCCTAAGAGTATGCCTTGCACAGCTCATAGGTTCTGTTTCAGGCACATTTGTTGGTGCTTACTCTCTCAGAGCTTCTCCAAGGCAGCTACATTGCTTAATTGTGGGAACACAGTATATTGAATGCAGTGCAGGATCAAATGAGGTAGAATATGAGGTGAGGTATGTTTCACCGAAACAGTGTAAACATGCCCTTATGATCCTGAGACACACGCATGGAGAAGACTGGGGTGGGGGAGATTTGATAACAGTCTTCAAATACCTGCAGGGCAATTATAGAAAGGATGGAGATAAGACTATTCTTTGTGGCTCTTGGAAACAGGACAAGGAGCAATGGCCTTAAATTTAGGTTGAAGATTAGGAGGAACTTTGTAACTATGTGGATGGTCAAGCATTGGAACAGGCTACCTAGAGAAGTCATGGAATCTCCATCCCTGAAAAATTTCAAGAACAGGCTATACAAATACTTCATGGCTTACGGATCTTCTTTACTTGAGCAGGATACTGGATTAGATGACTTTTTGAAGTCCCTTCCATCCCTACTTTCCTATGATCTACCCCTATGATCCTATACACAATGAAATTTTGCCACTCAAAAATGAGCAGACCCTTTATTGCATTTGCACTGTACTGCCAATTCCACTGCTTGTTGATTATTACTACAGACAAAGCCAAATTTTGCTCTGAGGCCTAGAATTTGCACTGAGACATAGACAAGGCTATACAGAGAAGTTAATGGCAGCACATGGTTTGTGAAGTATTTACTATTAGCAATGAAGCTTATGCAAGAAAGACTCTAGTTCATTTACTGGAGCTCAGGCAGTTTTCAAGACTGGGAATTTGCATTTTGATTTGCAAAGCAAACATCAATCTGGAGTCACTGGGCACCTCTACACAAGATGCTTACTGTGTATTAGACTAATTAACTGCATAGTAAATGTCTCTGCATCTACACATGAGCCCTTATTAATTTGGAGTAAACTAATTTACTCGCAGCAGGATAGTAGTTGTAGATAAACAGGAGTAATAAACTCCGCACCAGTGCACGTGAGCTCCCCAGGCTCCCTGCCAGCCAGGGCTGTTCTGGCTCAGCTCAATATGCTGTGATCCCAGGCACACATTCAGACACACACCTAGGAGCAATAAACTTTGGAGCAATAAGCTCCAGAGTTTATTGCATTGCATTAATACATACGTGTAGATGTGTCCAGTGAGAATGTGCAGATGTTCAGCTCCACCTTTGCTGAGCTATACTCAAAATCATAAGGTTTGAACATACAGTACAATAAGGTTTTTAACTGACCAATCAAAAGTCACATACAGTAAAATCCTTGTTATCTGGCACAAATGGGGAATGGGGGGGTGCTGGTTACCTGAGGGTTTCTGGCTGGATGTAGAGCGGGGGGAGAGGGGTAGCAGCAGCTGCACGGGGGCGGAGGGGAGTGGCTGGAGCCACTGCCTAGGGGTGCAGGGCTCCTGACTCTGACCCCAGGTGGGGTGAGAGATGCTGGTGCCAGGGTTGGGTCCCCCCCTTTACATCCATCTGCGTGCCACTCCCCACCTCCCCCCAAACACCAGGGCAGCCCAGCCACAGGCTGCTGCAGAGGGGTGGGGTGGTGGGGAGGGACGTGCACACAGCCAGGGAAGAAAGTGACACAGCAGACTGGAAAGTGCCGGGGTGTGGTGCCATGTGCATCCCACTGCTGAAATTCCGGTTAACAGAGTATCCTGGTTAGTAAAATCCTGGATAACAGGGATTTTACTGTAATATACTCCAAGTAACAGGGTCCAAGCCACTTTTTTACTAGCTATGAGATCAGTGCAAAATACAGTAATTTATCTTAATGATTTTCATTAATGTTTCAGAAAACTCATTTAGTAGTTAGCCCTATTATAGAAACACAGAATGTCATTACCGCTGCTACTCCAATTTTATACCAGAGTTGAACAGGAAAAGTATCTTAACGAATGTGATCCAAGGATGGGACTCAAAAAGCCTGCACTGAATTCTTAGCTCAGCTCACCTCCATCCACAATCATGGACCCACATGATCTACTCATGCCTGAATTCCGTTTGTAAAAATGGGAATAATAATTCCCTACCTCAGAGGGCAGAAAATCCATTAATGACAGTGAGATATAGATACCATAGTGACAAGGATCATATAAGATTCTAAATAAATTTCACTGGAGTTATACCAAAATAAACTGGAATAACACAGAGGTGAATCAGATCCTCTGTGGTGCTTGTAAAAAAAGTAGAATCCTGGAATTAGTGGCTGCGTCTACATGAGACACTGACTGTGCAGTAACCCATGACTACTGCACAGTAGTGTCACATAGCAGAAAGCATGATGTGACACTACTGCATGGTTTATCTCAGGCTACCGCGCAGTCCGAGTCACAAAAAAGCCATTTGGTGATGCTACTGCTCAGTAACTCTGCAGTATTATTACTGCACACTTGTTTATACAAGTGCTAAATGACTGTGCAGTAACAACTGTGCAGTCAGCATCTTGTGCAGACACAGCCAGTAAGAATGATGATTACTGAGTATACTATGCATTTTAATCAGGTATGCTTTGTATTTTGAATAAGGTGCCCCTGCAAGCATATTGCAAGAAACAGAGGTGCCTCTAATAACAAATGAGAAATGCCAACAACAGATGCCAGAATATAATATCACTGGACATATGATGTGTGCAGGTTATGACAAAGGAGGAATAGATTCCTGTCAGGTAAATAACAACAATACATGTTCATTACTAATATAACTCTGTTTCTAATTGCTAAATAACTCACAATTTTGTCTTGTACTCATTAAAACCCTACCAGTCACTGTCTTTGAATGTAATTTCTTCTCACAGAGGCTCACCTATTTCATAATGTATCGAGATATATGTTTTAAATGTGGCAATCTATTTTGGACCCTCCTCCCATGAAAAAGAATAGGGGGAAAGGGGGAAACATCATATTGGATGAAAAGGCTGGAAATGCTATGTATTGAACTACTTGGGTTTTGAGTGACCATCTCACAAAGAAAAAGTGCGTGCTTCTGGAAATGAAGCATGCAGAGCTTAAAATGCCAAGCTGATATGTCTGCAAGAAACCTCTTATGAGGAAAATTACAAAAGAGATTGAGGAGTACTCCCTTCTAATAGCATATAGCACTCTCCCATCTCCTAGCAGGAAAGACTGATATAAAACCATGAAGGCAGCAAAGAATATTAAACAAGAGTATCCTCCAAAATGGTGGCAGGGGTGCTTTATCTAAAACTCATTCAATGAACATTAGATAAAGTGTGCCCACCACCATTTTGAAGCACAGGGATGCTGATACATGAGACGCTTCAGGCATCCAGCTCTCAGAGCCACTCTAATTAAAATGCGCCCCCCAACTTCTGGAGCACATGTATAAACACACTAGAAGTTTAGGATCGCACACATTTAAAACACAAAAAACAATAAAGAGGTTTTCCTTCAAGTATGTCTTCATGTGTGTCCTATTTCTCGTGCATGAGAATAAGCTGTGGCATTCATAAAGACAAAACTTTGTGAAGAATGAAAATTATCTTAAGGATGGTAAATTTTTAATTTTTTTAACCCTTAATTTTAATATTTCAGGGAGATTCAGGTGGACCCCTGATGTGTGAAGACAATGGCAGATGGTTTTTGGCGGGTGTAGTATCCTTTGGCTATGAGTGTGCACTGCCCCATCGTCCTGGGGTGTATGTCAGAGTCACAGAATTTGTGGACTGGATTAAAAAAATTATTCATTAGCTTGATTTAAAAATAAAGGATGCAAATACAGTTTCAAGGTAAATGTGGAGGAAAGAAGCATATGCAACAATGTATAACAATGTAGCATTCAACCATTAAAAAAAACTGAAAAACTTGTCTAAACGTAAATTTGCAGCTGAAAAAGTTGAATATCAAGAACTCCCATCATGAATAAAAAGCATTTCAAAGCAGCACTTTTATCAGTGATTCTTACCATTTTACATAGATTGTTATATAATACCTGATTTTACTGTGTCAACATTATTCTTTAGTAACTTGAAAAAATGTCCATGCCTGATACACTAAGGAAGCTTGTAAAACAAAGTCCTGGAAGCAATACAAAAGATAAATTTCAGGCCAAATATGTTTGCAGTTTTTATGCTCTCCTTCCCAATGGGCATTCTCATTTCAAAGCATAGTGAATTCTGCTGAACACTTCCCACACATCAAAATGAGTTTCTACACTCGCTGTTTAATCTGAGATCATGACAGATTTCATCTCTCAACTATTACAAAAAGCTTTGAAACGAGTTTTATACGTACATGGTATGTAAATCAATCTGGTTGCTTTATAATGGATAAACTGATCCTTGGCCAAAAATTATCCTGAGTGTAACAATTCTGGAATGAATGCTGTGAAACAAAGGGTGAATGTTGTGCCTTATACTTTCTTTTTTGGCAAACATCCTGGTATTTATTACTGAACAAACTACAGATATGTGCCTGTGTGCAGGCACATGCATACACACAAAATTCAAAGCTCTTTTTTCATAAAGTTTAATGTTCTAAAAGCATCTAATGAACATCAGCCAATTATGCAAGTTGAAAAAGAATGAAGCAAATTGCTTCCTTGGTATAAGAGCTGATTTGGGTCATCACCCTAGTCGTTTTAAAGCATTTTTCTGTTATATCGGTTAGGGTGAACAGTCTATTAGATTTCAAATGAGGGAAGTATTAATGTGCTTCACAGTTCTAATTTCTTGGGTTCTTCTCCAGATATTGTTTACTTTAAATGTAAACAAAAGTCTCCATTTGTTAATCATTTTATGTAAGTTTTTTCAAACAAAATCACTCTAGTGTGATATGGTATATTTGTTTCTGATTGTTGGTTGTTATAAATTAATTCAACTCTAATTAATTCATGAAGCCACATAAAAGTTCAAAATATTATAAATTTTTTATATAGGACTTTGCACTGATGCTTATGTAACTGAGTGTTCCTGCATAACTGAGCCATAACTGAGTATAATGGCTTCTGAATAAGAGGCTTATTGCTGTTAATATGATATACAAACAAGAGTCAAAGATTTGACAAATAGTCTTTATTTTTTTTTGCTTCAGCAGCCAAAGTAAAAATGATGATGATGACATTTGGTGTCAACCACAATTGAAATATTTCAGAGTTTTCAGTTATTAAGAAAAGACGCTTTGGGTTAAATTAAATGTTTTGTTTGCCACAAAATGAAGTGGATTCTTTTTCTTGGGTGAAGTGTTTTCTTTCTTGGAACTGTTGATAAAAGCAAAGGACTAGCTTCACAAGGGGACTTATGCACCATTTATAAAAAACAGCAAAAGGAGGCGGAATGGATCTATACATGTAGCCAAGAAGTTAGAACATTTGTGTGGGGGACAGACTATGTGGGTTTATATCCCTGTTCTGCCTGGTTTAAACCTGTAACAGAACAGATGTTCAGTGCACATAAACCAGTTTGAAAATGGCTGAAACCTATTTGAGATAAACCTGGTTGAATGTAGTGTCAGACTTAACTGATTTGGGTGAAACTGGTTTATGCAACATCTGTCCCAGATCCCTTGCTGGTTTAAGATACATCAGGCTCCCCCAGCATCCTAGCTTGCTCTCTTGGCTGGGTGGGGCTCTCTGCTCCACAGCAGGGCTGGCCCCTCCCCTCTTTTCCCTGGCTGCAGCTCCGTGCTCAGCCCCTCCCCCTCACCACTCACTGCTAAACAGGAATTCTCCCCTCCCCTCTGCCTTGCTGAGGAGATGTCTGTGTATTAGCTAGTAGACCACATGCTGGCTAGGTCCCTGCTGAATCAACAGGCAGAATCAATAGATAGCTGATAATGTCCCTTTGTTGTTTTCTTACTTGGGTGATAAATACTTTGTTAGGGGATGATAAATATTGTTATCAATTCCTTGCTGGGCTAATCAAAGCATCCTGCTGGGGTCTGGCCATGCCCCTCTCCCCACCTCATCTAGGTCAGTGCTATGAAAGGGATGGGAGGGCTGCTCTAGTGCCCCCCCAGCTTCTGGCCTGAGCCATGTAGACATGTGCCCGCATTTCTGGGATGTCTGTCTGGTTACAGAACTGATTTAGCCTAGCCAGGTTAGACTAACCTACTAAGATTGAATCATTTCAGGTTCAGGCTTTTTGAATGTCTGCATCTAGCCTAGCAGTCTGGGGGTTATCACAGTTTCCTTTGGAAGCAGTTTTATTGTGTATGGACTGATTGAATATTCCTTGACCTAGAAAGGCACGCAAAATTACCTTGTAGCCTGCAAGTTAGACTTTATATTTGGGAGGAGGGATACATATATCCCAGTCTCTGCTTTAATGAATATTTAATTATTTTATACACACAGCTTCACTGGGAGAAAGTGAAAGACACCTATCTCCAAATTTATAGCCCCTTCCATACCACTAGGTGGGTAGTTTTTACCTGAGTTGAGCCTACCCTAGATTGCTACTATCCAGGTTTGTAGTTCATTCAGGTGTTAGAAGAGCACAGCCCATCATAGTACATGTCTTTGAGAAGGTGGAGATGGAAATCTTATGTTTCATTCATATATTTATTACACTTCAGCACAGGTAAGCATGTCTCTTTGTCTCCCTGAGTGGCCCTACTTGTACAGTGAGCAGGAGTGTGACTAGGTGGAATACTCTGGAACCTGTTGTAGAAGGACCGTAAGGTAAACAGAGTAAATATTAATTTTTAGGCTTTTCAGTCTTTAAAGAAAGATCAAGGGGCAGAAGGATGGCATTTCATCCATTTATTTAAAGTTCTTCTGACAAGTCAACAAATAGTTTAGTCCAGGTCATTAAAATAATTTTGATGAAGACAAAAGAAATGAGTTAGCTATGTTTAAAAAAATCTTATCTATGCTTAATCCATGTCTATGAATAGCCTGATAGGAGGAAATTCTGTGCCTAAAATGAGAATATAGTAAATCCCCAAATCAGTTTCTCAATAGTTTTACCTAAACATTCTGTGTTAAAGGGTAGGAAATGAGAGAGGTAGGCAAGATTCTTTGGGTAGATGTGATACCTTTTATTAGACCAACTAAATAGTTGGAAAATGTTCTTTGCAAGCTTTCAGGCATAAACACCCTTCTTTAGGCAAAGGGAGATGTTGCTGATTTTATGCTGGAAATGAGAGAGCTTTTTTTAAAGAAGCAAACTAAGCAGCATTCTGCCATCCCAAAAAGAATGCTATCAAATGGTCTCTTGGTCTTCACAGACATGAAAGCAAATTGTCTAGGTCAAACTGAGCAGTTTCATCAACCCATCTGTTGCCACAAGAAGAAAAACAAGATGGAACCAAGTAAGAGAATAGTTACTGTTCTTGTAGGCTCCTGCTTTATACTATACTGACTGCCTGGTGCCAATCAATTCAACTTGAGATAAGACCTCTGAAGAAAGGCCTAATAGATGCAAATTATACTCATGCTGACCAAGGAGTAGCAACTGTTTCTCTCCCCCTCTATATGTTTTTCCAAAGCTTAAGAAATAATCTGCACAGTATGGGAGAAAGCTGTGTGCAGCCTGTTACTGGCTAGACTACTGAAAGACTGTAGCACTATTTTGCCATTCTGCAGAGATGTAACCTTCCATAGCATGGGACAAATCTACTGTTTACCACTTAATGAAAAGCCAAGGAGTATCTTCTTCAATCAATACATAAGATACTTACATTCATAGGTACAGCACCAATATATATGTAACCCTTCTGCCAGGCACTAGTCGGCAGCAAAAAGGTTCAGGTTCACATTATGGGGTACCCCATGAATTATACCAGTGGCTTGAGCCCCCAACCAGAAATCTGGGAGCACTAAATTTGCTGGGGTGTGCCATATAAACAAAAACCCCTCCCCACAAGCAGTGTAAACACAAAAACCCAAATTTATTACAGAGAATAGAAACAAACATAGAAAGAAAGAAAACACTAAATATAATTTAAAAACACTAATACCTACAAAGCAAAGTCTATAGGTAGCACCCTCTTGAAGGAAGCTCCACTCATACCTAAGCAGTCTGGGACTTGGGGCTCCCCAATGGGTAGTTCTGGGTGCCTGCACCCCTATACCTACCAGTTCAGCAATGGGCTGAAGACATGGGCCTACACCAGAGTCCTGAGCTGCTCCTTGGGTTCATTGCACTATGGGGAGGTGCTCAAGAGCATGGATCCTTCTACATTGCAAGAGGCTCTGTTGCTTCTGGAGACAGTATAGAATGCTGACCTCCACTTCTGCATGATGGCTTTGAGGGGTTATCTGCAGCTTTTATCAGTGTGCCCCTCCCTACCCCCCCATGGAGGGAAAAAAACACCCTGCATTCTCCAAATATCAGTGTGGAGACTACTGTCGGTAACGTTCCAGTGTCAATAACATTTTTCTGTCAGTAACATTCCAGTGCATTGCATTTTCTTCATGTACTGCCAAGAAATAGGGGCCTTATTACATGGTAATTTTGGGTGGTTCCTGGAGCTCTTAACACCTGGATTGTCTGCACATTAACACCTTAAAGTGGTTTTAAGCGCTCGTTATGTGTCAAAATGATCTCCAAGGCAGGATTCTCTTTCATTCACACAACCCAGTGTGGCCACTCCCCACAGATGTGCTACCCAAGTTGAAGTCTTCCATTATCCCAGGATCTCTAACATCTGTAGAGAAAAGATAGAAGCCTGTTCTGGTTTAGTAGCCTGCTCGTGGCAACTCACACCTACAGCTCCTAGTCCTGCCCCTGCTCAGCAGCACTCTAATGGCATGTCACAGCTAGAGAAGGTTTCTGGATTAAGGGTATGACTGTTCCAAACTCTAAGTTAGCACAAACACTGATCGACATCTGCGCAGCTCACAGCATAAGGTATAACAATGCTGTAAGTTTGCTTTACAAACCAGCACCATTTCCTTTCCACTACAGTTCAGCACTCCCAATGTCAGTAGGGGAAAAAAATCGTTAGTCTTGGTGGTCACAGGACTGTGGCATTTTTCTTAAATAAGAAGAAAAGTGAGCTAAAGGAATGGTAGAGAATAAGTAGGGAAGACCATTTGAGAAATGCCAAGATTATATAAATGGGAAAGGAAACAATTGTTTGGGGGTGAGAGTTGAGTCATTATCAAGAAAAGTGAATGAGCAAAACCTATGGCATAATCCTGATCTTGAGTTTTTGAATGTTTGCAATAATATTTTAGCAATAGTGTTGCTAGGTTATTGTGTGTTATGGGTTTAATATGTTCCTCTTCTATTAAAGCAGCAGAGGCAAATTTATCTCTGAACTTCAAAAAAAACTTAACAGGTGACCATCCACCCTGAATTCCAATTCTAATTAAAATTAAAAATAACTTTTTGTAAGACAAAAATCAGTAATATGAAATCAAGAACAATGAGATGGAACAGACATTCATGGCAATAGAAATGTATAAAAGAAAATTGCTTAAAGTTAAACTATCAACCCTGATTATGCATCAGCATAGTATATTAAGGGGAAATATTGTTATTGTTTATGTAAGCCAGACCCTTGTGCTGGGTGTTATCTGTGTGTTGTTTGCATATCTGTTAGTTGCACATCTAGATATGGGCTTGAACCTGTGTTATTTAATTTCATTAGTAGAACCTGAATCCACCCTTTTTGGTGCCCAAAGGCATCTGGCAGAAGGGTTACGTTGCTATTGAGATTGTGACGGGCTAGCCAGTGGCAGCTTGGCCCAGAGGTTTTGAAAAGTTCAAAAAAGATTGGGGCAGGGGGATTTCCTTTTCCCCACCAATCAGGAAAAGGAGAAGGCTTACCCCCCCATCACCTAGGGGCCAGGTAGGGAAACCAAATCTGGGAGTAGACTCACCTCTCGTGTCACCTGATTGGTCCTGCCAGCCATCTGGAGGGGGATAAAAGGGGCAGAGCACTTGGCCCCAGGAGCGGAGAGATCACTGAGGGACAAAGAAGAGGGGCCTGAAGAGCTGGTGAGCTGACCAGCGGGATGTAGAGCGCTTGCCCCAGAAGAGCCCTGAAGCCGGTGCAGGGTCCAAACTGCAGGCGGTGGCTCAGCTCGGTGGCAGCAGTGCACGGGGTGGTGTGTGTGGCAGATCCCCTGCTGGGAGCAAAGCCCCAAGCCACAGGCAGAGGCTCGGGTATCCGACCCCCAGCAGGGAGGCCAGGAGCTCAGCATGTAGGGCAGTAGGCAGGGCACCGCCTCCCTACCCTAGGATTCTGGTAGGAGCAGCAGAGGGCAGCTCTCCTTGGCACGCAGGGCGGCGTGCAGGGAATCCCTGGGATCGGCATGCAGGGCAGTGTGCGGGGACTCCGGCTGCAGGGACACGGCCACCATCTTCCCTTCCCCGGCACATGGCCAGCACCAGTGTGCAGGTCTGTACGTGGAGGATCCTGGGCCTGCAGTAGGCAGCCTGGTCCCCAAACTCCCCAGGGAGAAGCCAGGAGCTCTATGGTGTGAGAGAGAGCCCACCCTGAGTTGTGGATAGCAGCTTGGGTTTGGGCTTTCCCTTCCCTGGTATGAGGCTGGGTACCTGGTTTGGCATGCAGACAGCATGCAGAGGATCCTGGAGGGACTGGAGCTGCAGGTTACAGCCTAGGCATTGACAGCTCAGTGGTAGAGTTCTTGTTTGGCCTGTAGAAAACCTGGGTTTGATTCCTGGCCGAGGCATGAGTTCCTGGGAAAAGGGAATTTTCACTGTGTAGAAGGGGTTCCTTACCTCTTTCTCCCCATCATGCCTCAAATTTTGTGAAACTTGTGCCTTATATTTGGTGAATCTGTGCCTTATATGCTGTGAACCTCTGAGCCCCAAACTTGTTGTTAATTTGCCTCTGCTAGATGTATATGTGTGCCTTACCTTTACTGAATCCCGTCTTGTTCTGCCGCACCCATTTTCCCATCTTCCCCCTCAATCTGTGTGTCATATCTTTTTCCTATTAAACCTGTATATGGTTAAATTCCCACTGGTCTTGGCTCTACTGTATAGGGGATAGGAGGGGAGTGCCTATCCCTTCAACAACATACTAGCACTCGCTAAATCCCTTCAATTGGAGAGGGGGTACCTTGTCTGAGTACCACCCAGGTTACAAGATTAATTGATTGAATTTACTTAAAATGTGTTTTGATTCTAAAGTTCATCATTGCTAGCAAAAGTGATTAATTACAATCTTTAGAATCTTTTGATTGCCACTTTAAGCAGAGTTTTAAATAAAAGATTCATTGATATCTTAGGGAAAGGAGGTAATGCTTTATACAGTATTAATTCATCCTTTTCTTTTGTTTCAAAAGATATAAAAATAGGCATAGTTAAAGTATTGCAAATAAAGTCTGGATTTAAATTGAATCTAATTAGTGTTGTAGCACTGGCAGAATGCTATATGCCAGTCTTGGAAAAACAAGGTATACAGATATTGTTATTTGTAGAAAAAGTGAACATGCAGCATCAAGTGATTTTCCTGAATTTTGCTACTGTAAATCCAGTGTTTACAGCATTAATAAATGTCTGCTGATGTGTAGGACATATAGGATAAAAATAAAGTCTGTGCCTACAGAAGCAAGAACTCTTTTTAAAATCTGCAAATAAATAAATGAACAATCCATTTTTTATCAAATGTTTATGCAAAGATAAATAATTTTGATACACTAAATTTGTCAGTTCAGTTTACAGTAATGAGCTAAGATACACTGTATGAAGGACTAAAACAAAAATGTGGTTAACTACAAACAGATCTTTAAAACTGACACATACTGTAGAGATTTCCCCATATAAACTTAAATTGCATTGTTCATTTCATCATTCACTTGTAGCTGAGTTGCTCCTCTTAGCAAAATAAACACATACTCTTTCCTTATTTAGCATGGCATGTTGTCTTACTGAATTAATAATCAAACATTACATATAAAAATGATCTGAAGAGTTGCCTCAAGGGGGAACTTACAGTTCATCTTGCTGATCCTTTGCATTTCAAGCCATTCCAAGCTAATGTTCTGAGATGACACTGCAATAGAGCCTGACTGTAAAATGTTAGTTTTTGCTTCATTTTCAGTCATTAAATCTTTATACCTCCATGCTACTGTCCTTCCTGGTGTTCTTTGAAATCCATAGTGTGGACTGGTTTGGACTGGTTTTTGTTCTTCCTTTACTGAAAAATAAAAATGTAAACTATTTTCAGCAAATTTGATCCTTCCATGGCCCAAATCCAGGATGTGGTGGGGTATGGGGCTTTCAGACATACACCTATCCATTAATTCAGATCGTCTTTGTTGTTGATGGAGTGTAGTGAGGAACGACTGTAACAGAAAAGTCCTTATTAGGGCTGGTATAACATTTTCTATCAAAACTATTTTCGTGGATAGTTGTATTTTTGACAATACAAAGTTGTTTAAAGGGGATTGCTCCTGAAGAATTTTTTTTCCATCAAGAAAATGTAGGCTCCAAACTAATACTTTGATTCTGTAATGTTACTGCATTGCCGCACAGGAACTGCAGTTTGGGTAAATCATGCTCCCATTTTCTTTTATGGACTGGACTTTCTTATATTTTGGTTAGGGATCTTATAATGATTAGGGATTTTCAACATACATGGTAGCTATGCTACCCTTCCCTCACCAAACTAGTCAACATCTTCCAACCAGGAATCAAAGCTCAGAGACGAGGATGGGGGCAAACTACAGTCTCCTGAACCACCACAGCAATATTCCAGAATCGAAAGGTTTTGATTGTAATAATAAATAGGGGTTTTTTTGTCATTTTCCCAATGTTTTTCTTTGAAATTGTCTGTGGAGGGGGATATATTTTTCTAACCAGCTCTAGCCCTAATGTCTAACGTTTTGTAAGTTAGAACTGTTAGTCTGCTTTATACTAACTTTGACTCACTTACCAATCTGTAAGTGAAAAGGAATCTAAGCTGACTTCTTATAAACCTTAAGATACCCAGAAGCACATGGAATTGGCACACATTTTGACTCCCTCCAGACTCTTTGGACTTACCTCTGAAGTCCTGCAAGGTAATGAAAAATGGGTTGATCCAGAGAACACTGAGCTATTTAAGACCCCAACAGATTTAAATGGTCTTTGGATCAAGCCCCGGATCTACCAAATGAGCCACTGGATCAAAGAAGAACTGTCTTGTAGAAGAACTGTGTGTGGTTCATTATTGCCTTTTTCCAGTTCTACACTCATGAATCAGGCCCATTTTCTGCATTTATGTCTGAAGTGCCTTGAATGAACAATCATCTAAGCAATATCAAAAAAATGATGTATGGTTTAAAATAAGACTAAGTACCAAGAATCAGATCCTCAGTGGTGGTAAACACCATATCTTCAGTTATGCTATGGTGATTTTTACCAGCTGAAGTTCTGGCTCTGGAAAGATAGGTAAGTAAAATGGCAATAAATATTTTGAGGACATTGTGTTTTATTGTTGTTTTGACTGTGAAATACAATCATAGAAACTAAGAAATATACCAGGTTGGAATTTAAACTTTCTGCAAGACATTCAGATGATAATGGAGATGGGTCTTTGAAGCAGTTTCTCCTTGCTCCCCTGGAAGAAAGGAAAGGGAGAGCATCTAAGCATGAATGAGCTGACTGTTGCTACTAATTGCAGGGGACCTGCTTTGCTTCACTTCACTACCACCTTTTAACACACTAAACTAGCCAAAACTGTGTGCAACTTCTTAGACTTTCCAAGGGGCTCTGCTTGCCCTTTGTTTGTAGCTCCACAGCAAACTAACTTTTCAGAGGAAAAATCCCCCTGTCATAAAAACAGATTTGTTTACATTTATTTTTCACCTCTATTTCCAGTTCCTTGAGCTTTGCCTTTTCAGTGTCTTGGAAAGTGAAAATTCCTTTTCATGGATGAATTACAAGACCCTGCCTTAGACCCACTGAAGTCAGTGAGACTCTTTCCATTGACACCAATGAGCTTATGGATCCTGTTCTTGCTTTTTTTAATGGAATAGCTATAATCACATGCTTTCAGTTCAGACAGCCCTTTGCTTGTTTGGGATTATGAAAGCACCATCAAAGAATCACGCAAGGAAGTACTGGAATGAAGCATGCCTTGACTGCTCACATGAGCATCCCTCCAAACAAATGGAATATAGCTGCCATACAGGACACAGGCCAGCAAATGATCTTAAGTCAGCACATTTATTCAAATGTGCCCAGTGTCACACTAAGGCAGCAGCTACCTCACATTCATTTCAGGGCACAGAAGGAACAGACCCAGTGAGGCTTGCATTGCTGCAGCTGTCCTTTGATCATATAAACATGCCCTTGGATTGCCTGCCCACGCTCATATTTTCTTTTTTTACAAAGTGCCTAAATATACTAAACACAAAGTGCCACAATACTTAACAGAAGTCTAGTATCCTATTGCTTCAGTCTCCTAATGCCTACTCAAAAATGCTGATAGCGCTGATCAGAATTGTTTTTGTCACAACAGTGTACCATCAGGAAACAGTTTTAATTAGACCAAATAATTTTAGTAAAATGTATCAATTTTGAAAAAAAACCCTACAAAAACATTTTTTCTCAAAATGAAAACCTTTTTGAAAAGTTTATAAAAACAGTTTATAAAAAATGCAAAACTTTATTTTAAAATTATAGTTCCATTAATTCTGTTATTTTTAAAATTTTTATAATATTTATGGCATTTTTCATGATTTACTGATATGTCAGTAGAAGTAAAATGCATAGTTTAACATCTTATATCATGCATAATGGCAGGTAAAAATATACTTTTTGTTTTAAAAAGTGTGCAATTGTTATTTGATATGCATTGAAACATTTGGTACACCTTGAAACTATTTTCTGTATCAAAACATATCCAGTTTCTATTTGAAACTACTAGTATGAAAAAGTTTGTCACTGCAATAAAAAATGATACATTATAATGTGCATCTCCTATGGACCCAATACTGAGCTCTGGGACACAGTAATGATTTTGACCAAAAGCTAACCCTGGCAGCACCCTCACTGAAGAGCTATCAAGATCCATAGAAACCAGCCTAAAACTACTTGTCAATCAAAACGAAGGAAATTCAGCAGTGTAATGTGCCTTAAATGACTTGGAGCACAGCAAACTAAAACTTCTCCGAGGAGTTTTAGTTTGCTGCCCCTACAGCTGCAGAGTGAAGCACCTGGCTCCGTGCAGCTTGGGGGCTCTGCAGGAAGCCCTGCAGCAGCCCGGGAAGGCAGGCTCCGCCCAAAAAAAGTGGCAAGCCTGAGCACCCCCCCAAGCTTGCCTGCATGCATGAGCTGCATGGGGGCCCAGTGCTTCCCTCCATGGCTGCAGAGCCCCCTGGGACCACCTGAGACGTGTGCCTGCGGGTGGGTGCTGCCTGGGGGGGACCGCTGCTGCTGCAATGGAGGGAAGCACCAGGCCCCCCCGCAGCCCAAGGACCGCTCCACCCACCGCCAGCTTCATAGTTTCATAGTAGCTAGGGTCAGGAGGGACCTGATCAGATCATCTAGCCTGACCCCCTGCCACAGGCAGGAATGAATGCTGGGTTCACAAGACCCCAGACAGGTGATCATCCAACCTCTTTTTGAATTTGCCCAAGGTAGGAGTGAGGAGCACTTCCCTAGCAAGTTGGTTCCAGATTCTGGCCACCCTAACTCTAAAATATTGCCTCCTGATCTCTAACCTAAACCTATTCTCCATCAGCTTATTACCATTGTTCCTCATCACCCCAGGTGGTGCTGGGGAGAAAAGGGGTCTTCCTATTTGCTGATGATCTCCCCTGATAAGTTTGTAGGCAGCCACCAGGTCCCCACTCAGCCTCCTCTTGCCGAGGCTGAATAGGTTCAGGTCCCTCAGTCTCTCCTCATAGGGCCTGTCCTGCTGCCCTCTCACCAAGCTCTCCCTCCCCTCCCTGCTGCCAGAGAGGCAGGTAAGTCAGAGTGTGCACGACACAGGGTTTAAAAGGCCCTAAACTGAAGTGTTGTTCTTAAAAACCACTGCTTCAGTTTAGGGCCCCTGTTTCAGCTACACGCACCAAGTACTCCACAATAACCTGATACAATACAAACAGAACCCCACCCTAGGGGACTGCACACCTCTAGTGGTCACCTACAATTCCACACTTGGATCATTAAGAAGAATCATCAAACAATTATAGCCTATACTCAAGAAAGATCAGACTTTCAGGGACATAGTCTCAGGCTCTCCTCTGCCCCGCTGCTCCCTTTCTTCTTCCCCCTCCCCCTGCTCCCCATTCTCCTTCGTTCCCCACTCCTAGCTTTCAAACAATCCCCTAACCTTGCCCAACACATCAGAAACAAGCTCCCTACTGGTCAACAGACACCAAATGGGATGCAGCCTTGCCTTAATAATAAAGGCAAAACCTGTCTACAGACTTCTGCTACAACAATCAGCTCCCTGCACAATGAACCCATCAGAATCCAAGAATCCTATACATCCCTATCCCAAAATGCCATACATCTCATCTAGTGTACCAAACTCCCTCATGGAAACTATGTGGGTGAAGCTAGATGGAAACTATGTACCAGAATAAAAGATAACAGGAGAATAATTAGGGACAGAGACACACAAGTATGCAGGAGAACACTTTTCATAGAACAGCCACTCACTTTCTTAACCTCACTATCCTTGTGCTCAAAGGAAATTAAAAAAAAACACATTCAAAAGCTGGGCAAAAATTCATAAGTTGTCTACACAATAAGAACTAAACACTGAATGAAGATATTGACTTAATGACTCACTATAATCTACATTATTCCAGCAATTCTTTCTTCATACCACAGGTGATAACAATCCTCTTCTCTTTTGAACAGACTTGACCATTTACTGATCAAGCTCTCTTTTCTTGTCTGCTAGCTACTTATGGGAATTTCTCATGAGAGTCCTTAAGCATGTTCCATGTCAGTGAAGTCCCTATCGCTACTCCCTAAAGCACAGCTACTATATAGATGGGCATAAGGAAGGTGAAAGGGCTGACTAAGTCAACATGCTGCAGTGGCAAGAAAGAAGTCTCCCGCTTAGAAGCAGCAGAATTCACCATTGTAGTATAATTTAAAGGATCTGCCAATCTATACTAGGACAGAGCATTCCCACAGTTGAAAAGCCATGGACATGACTATGTAGCTAATTGAGGTATGTGCAAATTGCTTGGGTTTTATGGGATGACATGATTGCACATTTTGAGGGTGAAGAGGCAGGGATGTAAGCGTTCCTTCAATGGAAATAGCTTGCCAATGGAAACATGAAACAGAAACAAAAAATACTGTTTTATACCAGTGCCCAGTGATTTTACCTTTTATGTAGCATCTGGAAACAGCAAGTCCCAAAAGCCACTAATATCAATAGCAGCAGTGGTATAGTTGGTATAACAACATAAATTAGATTTGGAATTAAACCTAAAAGGAAAAAAATGTATTTAATTAATGCTTACTGTATTGAAATGTGCTATCCCCTCACATTAAAAGACTTGGGGTAAATCCTCCCCCTACAAATAGCTCATCTCAATCAAAAGAATATGCACAAAAAATGGTCCAATCTTACATACCTTTTACAGAAACACCTCTTATTAATCTTAAAGAAAGTTCAGAATGTACCATGAATATAAGGATAAGCCCTCAATACTGTTTGAAAAATGTAAAAATATACTCATAATATAGTTGCCTTTATGTATCAAGTCATAATGACTTCTAACTGTTTGTTCTGTGACCAAAAATAAAACTAGTTAACAGCAAGTTTCACTAACCACTTTGCTTACAATGAAGATAAAGTACATACTAACTGAACGCTATGGGTTAGATTGTCACATTTCTTTCTCAGTCATGAAGGCTGTAAGAGCACAAGTCTCTTTGGGTGCATACAAGCATTACATTTATATTGGTACAATCCTTTCTAGTCTGATAGAAACATTTGGTATACAAGCATTCACAACACAATCTGGTCTAAAAATTGCCGGTGCGGTGTAAAGATAGACCACATCCAATGAGGTCAAAATCCAGGCTAATATGGGTTAAACAGGTTTAATGAACATGTGTACTGACAGAAGTTCCATAACTGTCCTCTAGCATCCCAGCCTGCATCACCCTACCCCACCTTCTCCTCCCCTCCAAAGACATGCTGTGACTTGGCCAGACTCAAGTGCCCACTCCCCAGACTGCATTCCCCATGTTTCTTTTCTGCTTTTCTTGCTGCCCCCATCCCCTCTAGGATCAGTGTGTGAGGGGAGCAAGAGTAATGTTCTTGGTCTCTGGGAACAGGTTAGAAGTTCTTACCCCCAGGGGGAGCAGCAGGTGCCAGTTTTTACGTGCTGCACAGGGAGGAAAAGTTCCCTGTGGCAGGCTGTAGCAGAGTGCAGGACCAGAGGCTCCAGCCTAGCTGCAAGTGGTAAGGCTAATTGCAGGCTGCTCAGGAGGACTGGGCCAGCTAAGGGAGCTAATTAGGGGTCAGGTCACAGAAGGTGAAAGGTTCCAGCAGGGCATGGGGGCGAGTCAAACCAGGGAGTCAGACAGACAGAAAGTGAGAGAGAGTAGCCTGGTCTGCCAGATCAAGGACTTTCAGGGCCTGAGAAGAGACCCAGGGGATGCGAGACTGGAGGGTGCTTGTGTGACAGGCATACCCTGGGAATATGGATTGTATCGTGTTTGAACTAGCAAAAGCCCTGAAACCTACTACACTCCCCACCCCCTGCCCCCGACAAGCTTGAGAACCCTGATCTCCAGCCGTGGCAGCAAGGCTTCCCATGACAACAGCCCGCAAAGACTACAGTCTGACAGGCTGATAGCTGTGAGGTAGCGGGGTAGGGTGCTATGAGGAGGCAGCTGTGGTTCCTTGTGGCCACCAGCTATTCATCAGCCCTGACCTGTTACCTCCACATTTTCACTTCCAGGCAGACTATAGAGCCTGCAAAGCATGCTGGGATGCATGCTCTGAGTCCCCGCAGTTTGTCTGTAGAGTAGGCAACCAGCTAATGAACTCTTGCACAACCAAGAACTGGTAAGGTTTTCAACTTCTTTATCTAAATTGTTTTAACTTCTACTGGTTTATTTGAATGCTTGTATGCATCCTCAAGTGCCACACCTCCCCAGTCCCTTTCTTGAACTATCACAGGCTAAGGTGTGTGGAGAGCAAGGACTACTTGCCTGACACTGCCTGCAAAGAGAGAAAGGGTAGTAGTGCAGAAGTCTTCAATTCTTCCCCACTACACATTGGTCAGAAAAGCTGATGGGTCCATTCTCTATGAGAAGTATTCTGAACAGATCCTATACTTCTGCAACATTTCTACAGTAGACACATTTTATATCAGCATAGCTGTGCTTTGAATCATTCTAGCAAAACTACCTCCCATTGTAGCAGAACTACCTCCCATGAGAAGCTCTGTTTACTGGTATAACTACATGTACAATCTGGCCGCTGCCAGTACAGCTGTCAGTTTGATCGCTTCTCGTAACTCTATTAACTTACATAGCTCTGTTGGCAGAAGAATGTATTGTAGACTTGACCTAAGTCTGTTCACTGCAGAGATATAACAGAATACTGGAGTGCCCTGGGCAGCACACAGGGCAGTGTCAGCTTCTGGGCTGCCAGCACTGCAGCTGTTGCTTTTTCTTGCTCTTGCTCAATGCCAGGTCACATGTCATGGATTTTCTTCCTTCATTATGCTCCCCCATTATACACAGCTATGTGTTGCTCCTTACTTAAGATAGATTATAGTGTTACAGTCTCTCCCTAGTGCATTTGAACAAAATACTTCATAAGTGACTCTTCCCTCTTTGCTATATGTGCATAGCAAGAAAGGTGAGACCTTAAAAACCAAAATGCTTTTTATGATCTTAAAACAAAGGGGTACTTGGGTTCAATAGGCAACTATTTTGAATATAATGCAGCAATTGTTCTTTACACCTGCATTAATATAATACTATACACTTAGTGTAGTTATAAACTGACCTCTACATATTTTCAAGTAGTCACCATTGCACTATGTGCAACGGGATTGGCTTTCAATTTGAGTTGAGAAAACTGGAATTATTTTTTTCAATTCCTTGTTGTTTTTGTTAGCACATGCAATATAAGGACCTGTAGTTTTCTAAATTTAATGTGGATCTTAAATCTTAATGTGGATACTATGTTTTTCATGAATTAAGGGTTTTTTTAAAGTATATTTTCACTTAAAGAACAAATGTAACCATTTGTATTAATTATAACTTGACTTTCATATATTGTAGTACTAGTGCTAACTGGAGACTTTTTGCATGTTATGATTTTTAACAAGTAGCAACATAACTTTACTATTTCAATACAGAAGTCTCAGCCTATTAATTTATCTGAGGCTACTTCTAGATAATGTTGCTAATATAAGCCATTTGTTTACATGTATGGATATGGGTGTACTGAAGCATCCTTATAATCCTTGCTTGTCTCTGATTTTTTTCAGTACTAGTTTTCTGCTACTCAAGCTTATTAGCATTTGTTTATATATTCCAAAAGAAGCACAGAAAGTGTAACATTTTAAAAGTAAAAAGTTGCTCTTAAAGGACAACTACAACAAGGTTTTCCTGACCCATATAAAAGTTGCCTCTGGAATGGAATATGTGGTGGCCTTCACCTCTAGGAAACTGGTTCAAATCCAATCATGGAGGACAGTAACTGAAAGTTATTACTGCCTCTTCAGCTATCCAGTTTTCTAATGGCCAAAATGCTGCAAGATGATCAGCTGTTCTTGTTAGATCTGAAGTGCCTTCAGTGCCTACTGAAGTCACTCAGAAGTCAGGGCATTCAGAATCTTTCAAGAACTGATTGGAACCATGAAGAAAATTGGAGAATAAATTAAATGAGCTACGGGGCACAGCAAGCAGATCTTCCAATCTCAAAAACAAGCACTGGCACTTTGCTGGGCAGTTCTAGGTCCTGTTCACCCCCCAAAAATCTATTTGGATCAAGCCTGGGTCATGTGAAGTTTGCTGCATTAGTGTGGCCATTCTGCAGAAAACAGATCATTTAATTTCCCTCAAATTAGCTAATCTGGCACCTTTCCTAAGCATGAATATGCTGTTATTAAAAGAGAATACACATGCATTAGAACCTGTATGTCTAATTCTAACTTCCTGTGCCTGCTGATAATATTGTAGCTCAAACTTTAAAGCCATATAAATTACCTGTTTCAGTAACAACAACATGATAGTGATCTTCCGGTTTGCTTGCATCAGAAGGGCTTCCTGATGTCACTGGTGGAAAAACCTCTGAAAAAAATGAGTTAAATGTTTTAGACAAACAGTAACAGTACAAAGTGGTGGTGTTCTATGAAACCCACATTTATGGCACTTTACAATAGTTCATATTTGATAATTAAATAGTTTGAAGATTAAATAAATTGTTAGAAATGACTTGATTTTGGTTTGTTACTGTAATATGGGGATTGCATCTGAAATAAGAATTATAAGCAGCAGCATTTTTTTTAATCTATATCAATACATTTGCAACTACACTTATAAATATTTCTCTCTTCAGGATTCTTTGTTCATGTCCCAGGGGTAACAAAACTCTGTTCATTTCATATATGTAACTTTCTGCAACTTGTAAAGAATCTCTAAGGGCCTTGCTAGACATTAATTTTAGGCAGCTCCTGGAGGTCTTCACCCCTGGATTGTCTGCACATTAACACCAGAAACTACTTTTAAGCATACTCTGATCTGTGTTACCCAGTTAGTGCTCCATTAATATGAGGCAACTCCCCACAGATGAGCCACCCAAGTTGCTGTCCTCCAAAATTCCAGGATGCAGTGTCTCTCCCCGCTCCCCCCACAACCTGTTTTGTGTGGGCAAATTTTTCCACCCCTCCCCCAGAACTCTACTGTCCAGGGGGGGCACTTCTAGCACCAAGACAACTTCCCCTTCCCACCCCCAGGGGGGGCAACTCCACGCAAACAGCCTGCAGAACACATGCTGACTAGCCAGACTGCAGGACATGGACAGGTCCAGAGTGGAGTCTAAGGAGGGGGAGGTGGGAACAACATAGGGGACTGGATCAGGTCCCCATAAACTGGGGCCTCCTTCCCAAGGCAGGGGCAGTAGCTCTCCCAAAAGCACCATCCTTTACCACTTCCCACCTCCTGACCATCCCAGGATGCACAACCAGCACCCTACACACCTCAATACTAATCCCAATTTATTAAAACATGAAACCTTCTTTAATTTACTTTTTCTTTATTGATTTTTTAAAAACTTTTTTTACTTTTTATTTTATCCTTCAATAGCTGACTTTCTTCATTTTACCACCCTTCCCCCACCCTCATTTCCTTTCCACCTCCCATTTTGTTACCACCTCTCAGCTTCATGTTCCTACTCTCTACCCTTCCAACCCATCTCTTGCACCTCCACCTAGAGCAGTGATAGAAGCCTGTCCTGGCTCACCAGCCCTCTAGTGGCAAGTCCCAGCTGTGCAGGTGGGGGGCAGTCAGGGAAGGTTATTAACCTAAAGGTGCAACTGCTCTAAACTCAAGCTAGTGCTAACACCAATCGACATTTGAGTAGCTCAAAGTACAATGTATAAGAATGCCCTAAGATTATGTCTTTACCATTGCAAAATTTGAAAATTTCTTACCATAATCTGGTTCTGCTCTGTCTCCTAATTCTTTCTCTAGGACATAATCTGTTAAATCAATAGTTTAATAATAAAAGACAGAAAGTGATCAAACAGATTTTGGTACGGTTTTGTAGGCAGTACCATAGAATAGCATATATCCTTATGGTAATTAAAAAAAGCAAAACAAGTTATTGCAGACTCCTTCCATTTGATATATCTATATTTGATAAGCACCCTTTTCTGGTGATCTTTGACTATTAAAGTTAGTATCACTCTACTTCTAGTTTTCTATTAAATGTAGATAGACAGTAGCATTGTAGTCTAGCCCTCAACCAACTTTTTTTCTGGTGGAATTTGGTAGCTTACTGTATGGAATTGCAAAATTAAACACTTTTTCTGATACCAAAGATTTTTGGATGTAGCTCGTCTTAACATCTCAGAAGTCTTGTGTAATTTTAAGGATCCTATATAATGCTGAAAGAAGGACTGCTTTTTATTTATAGCAGGAATTAAAGGAAGGTTATTTATATTTTCAAGATGTTAATAAACATAAATTCTCTAGGGAGCAGAGAAGAGAAATATAGAATAGAAGTTTTGAGTCCACATATCAAGTCTTTTGGTTCTTATTTTGGCAGGAGGCAGCCCAAAAACCAACAGTGTTCATCAGTTAGGTATTCCAAATTATAAAGTAAGGAAATGAAATCACTGCAGGAAAAGAAGACGTTTAATTTCTTAGAATAAATGACAAATGAGAAACCATAATTCATGGCTGGTAGCTATACAGTAAAGAATGATTAGCCTGTTGAAATGTGGGACTAGTTTTATATCCAGATGATTCCACAGACTATAGATATAAATTATTTCAAAAGAAAGGGATGGACATGGAAGTAGAATATGTATGGTTACTTGAACACCAATTTCATATCATAAGAATACAAATATAAAAATGAGATTGTACTATTAGTTTGAAGTTCTGAACAGTAATGGTAAATACAGAGAGCAAGGAGGAAACAAAACCCAACAGAACAGTTGCTTCTGCTACTCCAAGAGAAGTTGGTTACATTGGGCCATTGGTTAGCAAAAAATACCAAAAAGCCACACACAACTGCTATTTGGAGAAGCTTATTTTAAAGAATAGAAGATAGGGGATTAATTTTTAATTTTAGATGAAAAATCAATCCTATATGAGCTAGTTTGGGAACTAAATGTGCATGTAAGTTCAATATGCTTCCATAGCAAACATAATTCAAACTTGGAGCTAGTGATGTGGCACTCAAGGGATAGAGTTTAGTATTTTGAGATGCAAAAACAAGTTAGAAAGTGGACAAAATAGTCAGTGAAAACACCTACTATGATCACAGAATCTGGCTGTATACAGTTCCCTAAAGAATCTAAGTACTGGATTCACTGCTGGCAAAAATGGATGCCGTTCCATTACTTGTAATGGAGTTGCTCCCACAGCTGCATGCATTTGGTTTCTAGAAAATGGAGTAGACCTTATGCTCAGAATAAACAAATGATATGAAAAGAAGATAAAAAACAGTATGACTACATGACAATGCCTAATTCAATATTTAGGGAATAAAAATACAAACTTTTGCATAGATGGAAGCATTGTTTCTACAAGTAATTGAAGTCATAGATTGCACTGCTTGTTCTTGCACTGCTCTTTCTAAGCAATTTGGCATAATTTGCACATTTAATATCTAAACAGTAAACGCCACCCATATGCATAACTGTGTTGTACCTTAATACATGAGCAGTGTGAGAAGAAGTTTATAATACATATTTCCCCACTGCCTAATTTTTGACAAACTGGTCCCAATATTTAGAGTAACATGGTGCTGCAGAAGTTGATGAAGGAACAAATACAAATGCTTCTGATGTTAAAAAAAAGCTTTGCAAAATGGACTGATAGATAGATATAGATATATAAAAAAGACCAATATATATAATTTAAAGGGTAATGCTTCCATTAGCTTTTGAGTTTTGGCAGGCAAATGGACATATAATATGTTTGAGTAGTGTTGCATTCAACAAGCTAACCTAGTCTGAAACCTAATACCACTTTGGCAGTAAACTATTAACTTTTTTTGAAGTGGTATTTACCTGTGCAGTTCTCTAATTTACCTTCCACAGAAAAAAAAAATGTAAATGAACTTTTTATATTTTCAACCTAAAGAGGAGGTAAATTATCTGGCAATTAAAGCAGAGGACTAGGAATTAATAATCCTAGGTTCTACTCTATCAGCTGCAGGTGAAGAGTTCACAGTTAATACTCTTTTTAAAAATTATTTTTGAGGATACACACTATGAATGAAATGGGAACCATTTTAGTCAAACTTTTATTTTCTCAAGGCAAAACTTGGGTGAATGATGTTGCAACTAGAATAACTGCAAAAAATATGATGTATTCTCTTTTGTATAATGTTCTGTGAGAAATAATATTTAATGGACTTAAAACCATTGCAAAATGAATTGGCCAGCATTTTCAGGTGAAAGTTCACATGATCATTTTCAAGACAAGCTAGTTCTGGCTCTGTCACTGATTTTGTGTGCCTTGCAAAAGTCACTTAGGGTACCGTATTTACTCAAATTCAAGATGAGAGTTTTCCCCCCACCCCAAACAACATGGGAGAAGATTCAAGTGCCATGGGGGCTGGAGGCTCAACTCCAGCTTCATCCCTAGGCTTGGAGCCAAAGCAGGAGCTGAGCCACCTCCGACTCTGGGCCAGAGTGGTTTGTGAAATGAGGGAGGAGGCTCGCATTTGGGGGAGATTGTGGTGGGCTACAAGGGAGAATACAGGAGAGACCTGCCTGTGCAGTTCAAGGGAAGACTGCACAGCTTGCCTCCCACCTTCCTCCCCTGCCCTCCATTTACCTCTTGCTCTGCTCCAGCCCCAACCTGCAGAGGCCTAGAGTTGCCACGGCTCCTTCTGTCTGGTCAGTTAGGGCTGAGGCCAGGACAAGGCCACTGCCACTGATGAGCCAAAGGGTGGGAAGTAGGCAGCAGTGGAGAGCATGGGGTGGGGGCAGGAAGGAGAGGGAAGGCACAGGAGGCCAAGGAGTGAG